TAAATGCATTTATTAGAAAAGATGACAGGCTTGAAATTTAATGAGCTAAGATTCCAGATCAATAAGTTAGAAAAAAAAGAGTGAATTAAATCCAGTAATGAAAAATAAGGAAATAATAAAGGCATGACTATACATGTAACAAAAAAATATACACATGAGAACCAAAAAAAGCTCAATTTATAAGTGCTTTGAGAGGTTGGTCAAGGAGAAAAAATGAAAAGCACAAGTAATCAATACCAGGAAAAAAAAAGGAGACAATGCTGCAGTTGCTGCAGATATTAAAGATGAGGAAAACACAAACGACATGCAAAAAAATGGAAACAGAAGAAAGTGACAAATTATTAGAAAAACGTAACTTAGAAAGCTGACATAAAAATAAATAGACTTTAAAACATTCCCACAAAGAAACTGCAGGCTTAGATAGCTTTACTAGTGAGTTGTTCTAAATATTTAAAAAAGAAAGAACACCAGTCTTACAAGAAACCTTCCAGAGATCAGAAAAAGAGGATACATTTCAAGATAACCTTGGTGAAAAACTTGACACACAAAAAAATAGCAGGCCAATCTCACCTATGAACAGAGATTCAAATATTCTAAATAAAATGTTAGCAAATTAAATCCAACTATACATAGAATTAATAAAATGGGACCAACTTTGATTTGCTCCAGGAATTCGAAGTTGTTTTAATATTAGAAAATCAATTGATGTGATTCAGCACATTTGTTGAATATTATGATGACCTGGGCAGAGCCAGAAAAGACAACTGATAAAATTCAGCATCCTGTTGAGATAAATATTAGCAAACAACCTAGAAAATCAAGCATTATATTTAATGGTGAAACATCAAACATTTCCTTCTGAGACTGGGAATGGACAAGGATGACATCATTACTTCTATTCAACATTGTACTGAAGGCCCCAGACACTACAGTAAGGCAAAAACAGAATGAAAGGTAAAAGGATTGGAAAGAAAGGAACCAAACTGTCATAACTCACAGATCATATAGGTGGGTATAGAAAAATCTAAAAGATTCCATTAATCATTAGAATTAATGAAGATGTAGCAAGTTTACCTGATTCAAAAATCAATATACAGCAATGAACTGTGCTGACAGTGTTCTATTTCTTTACTTAGATAGTGGCTATGTGCACACTGGCTTTGTAATCGTTGCTTAAGCTGTATTTGTGTTGTGCATTTTTTATTAACTCTTATGCATCGCCAGGACCCTGAAAGTGTCATATGCTTCCTGACAGGACCTACCAGCTTGACGGAGAGGCAAGTGTATACAGCACTGCTACTCTGAAAAGCAGCAGTACTCTTACATGTGAATGCTGAAAACCTCACTTAATGGATACTTTTGATGTAACTCCATTTATGCTCACAATTTTGGCTCCATTCCATTCTTGTTTTACTGTTTAAGTTTCTCTTTAAAGCAGCAATTTTCTTTATATCATTTACAATAGACCCCACAAAAGTATGACAGAAGCTATTTTTCTATCGAAGTATACTATTTTTCTTCCAGAGATGTCACCTTGAAATAGACATTTGCTTAACAATTCTATATTTCTAGCTTTCATTCAAAGAGACCTGTATCTTTTACCTAACCCTGCTGCACTGATCTATCCATAGCCTTTTCTTGAAGGAAAAGGTCACTCAGAAAGATCGGATAAAAACCTATATAACAAGTCATTGTCAATAAAACCAAAATGTTTTCTTAAAGGCAAAGTATAACAATTTCCTTTTATCCATTGGTCAATAGATAAAAATAAGTTGGATACCAACTTATGGGCACAAGCCAGTACTTCATTCATTTATTGTTAGTTGCTTTGAACACTGTTAAAAAAAGAAAATACCCACTGGAAGCCCCAAGAGCCATTAGCAGAGGGCGGCAGTCATAGCATCATCATCATTGAGCCTAAAAGCAGAATAGAAAAGCAATATCAGACCTCATGTAGGGATACAGTTTAGAACTCTGGCAAAACTCCCATGCTCGTAGGGTACCTGTTTCCTCTTACAAAAACCTCATGTGCTTTAAATGCCGGAACGACTTTTCATCTAAAAAATACCATCCACTGCTGCACGGTTATTGTATGTTCATTAGACATTAAAAACACAAACACTGACATTCTTTGCCTTACCTGTTATAGCATAAGAAAGCATAAACGAGTCTGTCAAGTAACAAAAGGATTTTGTTAAATATCCCAACACTAACCTGTTATTATTCTGCCTATCAGGAGAAAAAAAAAATCAGAAAACACAAATTCATATCATTTTCTGTTAACCAACTAAAAATAGAGGGTAAAATGTAATTCCACTAGAAAAATGAATAAGTACTTGAAAACCATCACATTCTATAAAGGTCTAGCTTTTGGAAACTGTAACCCTGTCATTAAATTATTTCCACAAATCCATTCACACAGTCATGTGCTGAGTCTAAGAGGAGGAGGAAAGATCATTTTTTTCCCCAAATTTGGTATCCAGCTTTCTAAAAAAAGACAAAGGCACATTTTATCATCCTGGAAAAAGTGACTTCAGTGAAGCAGATAAAGTGTCTAATAAGGCCTAATTATCTCATGTTGTGATTCTTTTTAAATCACTTTTAACCTCAGGAAGAATTTTAATTATCTTGTATAATAAAGTCTTTCCTTATTTCACCCCCTGTAGGAGAAAAACATATTAAACCTTATTTTGGTCAAAAGATAAGAGCAGTATTAAGTTTAAATTGATGTCATTATGAAATATTTGATATCAGGATTACAAATTTCTACTTCAGTAATTATTCGATTGGTCACAAAAGGGTATCATTCCACTGCCAACTCCTAGCAAGAGGCCATCAGAGTTATCAGCATGCATGCGATACACCCGGGCCTGTTGGGGGAAGAGAAAAATGTGTTCTTTCTATTCCAGTAGAGCCTTGTGATTCCAAGGTTAAATTATTGAAGCAGTTTGGGAGGTACTTTTTAATATGATTTTCAAAAAGTTTTCTCCTCATTATCAACTCTTTAATAAACACTTCAAAGTTTCTGTGAGCTTCTCCATTGGGAAAAATATTAATTCATGAGCCTTCTTCCCAAACATACGCTCATTTCTCTCATTGGGATTCAAGAACTCAAGGAGGAAATGTTATGCAAGTGTCTGCATATAGAAAGACAAAGTTTTCCTTCCTCTTTTTTCTCATTTCTCCTACAAAGGCATTCCCTTCATGCCTAGCATATAACTTCCATCTTGCAGTATGATTCTGACAAGAGGTGCAGCCTCGCCAACTCAGCAAGGTTCTCTGACACAAGGTACTAATCTGTCCTTCTCCTCTTTATTCCTGATCTGTATAAAATAACAAAAAAGCATTGACTAGCATCAATGCTAGGCATCAATAGGCTAGGCATCATGAGAAGCACTTTCCAATGCTTTCATTTCATTTAATCTTCACAGCTCTATCCCCATTTCCTAAAGAGGAAACCTAATCCTTGGAAATGTTCACTGGCTGCCCCAAGGTAATAGAGCTGGTAAATGGTGAGATTTGAATGCATTTCTAAAGTTTGAAGAGAGAACCCACTTCCACAACAATTCCATAGTTTTTTATTCTGACAGAGAGGAACTAGCTGTTTTCATACCTTATAGAAGGATACCATTTGGATATGCATGGTGCCTTGAAAATGAATGGCATCTTTTATATATGCCCGTCTTGATGTAGTTCACTTTGACTCTTGCCATAGAACTGCGTGTGGGTGAAACTTTAAAGCAGATCTCTGGCCACTTCATGTTAACACTCATACTACAGAAGAATTAAATAAGTGTAAGATTCAATTACCCCATATTTTATTTCAGGGAGCTCAAATTACTACAGAAGAAGTCTATGTATTATTCTGCTAAAATCAGGATAAATACAGCATGTAGGGGACCAGCAGGAAGATTAGCTTCATGCGTTTAAGGACCCAGGTGGTCATGGGCTCTAACATCATGCAAGGTCATCGTAGGTGCCAACCTGCAGCCTGGAGCCTTGGAAAGAAAGAGTAGAGGACAGAAGGGGAGGGTTTGCTGGGTCAGGTGAAGAAGTGCCCAGAAAGAAAACAGAAAAGATTGGGTGAACAGCTAGCCAGTTCATTTACTTTACGTACACAGAATAATATAAAGTAGATGCAATAATTAAAATTTGAAGAGTTCGTTATGGGTATTTCTATGGCGTGCACTAAAATTTCATTTTCTTTTTGTTTAATGTGATTATTTTTTACTGTCTCTCAAATTTATTAACTGTTGTTTAGTTTTTGTCTTGGTAAGTCCCTTTAAATCTTCTCTGGGAGAAAATGGCAAGGAGTGGCTATACTTAGTTAATGAATATCCTGTGGAGCCAAATAATAATAATGTTAATATCTGCTAATATTTGTACATCATATATTATGTGCCAAACACTGTTCTAAGTATTTTGCACATACTGACTCATTTGATACAACCACATAGTTTTAGTGTATTTATTATTCATGCATAAATAAATCTGCTTTAAATTATGTTATATAGTTGTTATGAGAATGTTAAACCATTGATTCATGATCTTTATTGAACTTTCCTATTGTCTTTTTTTCTTTGGATTTTGAGATGGAGTCTCGCTCTGTTGCCTGGGCTGGAGTGCAGTGGTGCGATCTCAGCTCACTGCAAGCTCTGCCTGCCAAGTTCAAGCAATTCTCCTGCCTCAGCCTCCTACGTATCTGGGATTACAGGTGCCTGCCACCACGCCCGACTAATCTTTGTACTTTTAGTAGAGATGGGGTTTCACCACATTGGACAGGATGGTCTCCATCTCTTGACCTCGTGATCCACCTGCCTCGGCCTCCCAAAGTGCTGGAATTACAGGTGTGAGCCACCTCACCTGGCTCTCAACTTTTTTGTTTGTTTGTTTTAACCAGAAGTATGTGCACTTTATTGAATGCCATTGTATAAAAGTGTGTGAGGACAAAAGGCTGATACAGGACTTGGCTCCAGGGGCAGGGCAAGGAACGGAAGATGGAGTGCATGGGGTATAGGTCACGGGCAGAGCCCCTGTTCTGGATGATGCCTCCTGATCTATCAATAGACTTGGAAGATCAACACCGGGATGATGATGAGCAGAACGGTCATGACAATGCCCACAATCAGGGCCCAGATGTTCAGGCACTTGGCAGTGGAGGCATAGGCCTGGGCCCTGGTCAGGTCACCAACAATCTTCCTGTCCCTAGACGTCATGGAGTAGGCAAATGCTATGAAGCCCAGGCAGCTGGAGTTCATGAAGAGGGTGTTGAACAGCGACCAGACAACATGGTCGGGCACAGAGGTCTCACTGCTGAAGTGGATCATGGTGGACATTGGGGGAGCAGAGTTGTGGGGTGCCCCCACCACAGCCACCTCATGCTCCTCCTTGAGCATCTCATAATTGCAGGAGCGGCTGCTGTTGGCAGGAGTGAAGAAGGTTTGGAAAGTGTGGTTCATGGTGTCGAAGGAAGACCAGCTGTGGTCAGGTTGCTGGGATGGTTCTCAATAGGCCCTCCGTCTCCCCAGTAGTTTCAGTTTCTCCTGAACTATTAAATTAATGAAGAAGCCCTTTTTTTGTTATCAGTCAATGGAAAGGTAAACTTCCACCAAGCTTACCTGTATAAACTTTTAAAACACAAATTGCAGGGCATCTCTTCCAGAGTTAATGATTCAGTAGCTCTGGGATAGGGCCAAGAATCGTGTTGCTCCAAGTGAAACTGATGCCATTGATATAGATGAAGCAAAAAGACAGTCTGGAAACGCATGATAAAACCCTAAAAGATATTAACCCTTGGAGTCTTAGGGAAATGCAAGAGAACGTGGGTATAAGAGTGGGTACAATTCTGATTTTTGTCAGAACCAAAGAAATAGTGTCACTGGATGTTCTTTAGAATATGGTTTCCAAAAGTCATGGAAGCAGACAAGGCTGCAGCAGAAATGATGTCATATTGAGTTAGTCTATTTCCATAGAGTAAAGAGATGCTCTGTTCTGCCAGTGAGCTTGGTGAGACTTCCAAACCCCTTCTGAAAAGAAAACTTCAGGGGTTTTAAGGCAGCCTGATATTTAGAGCCACCTTAATATGGAAACATGAGACAGCATACAGGAGGAGATCTCACAGGCCAGGAGGAAGGGATGTCGAGGTAATCAAGAGAGATGGACTCTCTAAAAACAAGCTGGAGGAGCACACTCCCCAGCCAGCCGTCATAACCTACACGGGGTAGACAAAAGCAAAATAAGAACACCATCCCTCAACTCTGGACTGAGTCTGACTTTGTAATTTGAGAACAGGGCAGAACATGACAATGTGATGGATGTCCTATTCCTCTTCCTCCCTGAGTAATATTGCTTAGGATCTCTTTAGTGCCAGAGGCAATTTCAGGGGCTCTACAGAACATGATTGTATCTGGGGCCTTTTAAGTTCCAACTGTGAGATCGGTTTATAGGACATTTTTCTAAAATGAATTGTTACATGATTTGGTCTCTGCTCCTGATTCTCATTGCCTTTGCTAGATTGGCTATTTTAAAATCCTACTTTAACCATGAATGAGCAACATGATTCTTTCATGCAGGGAAAGAGATTGCTGTTGTTATACCCACAATTGATCTTTTCTATTTCTCTAAGATTGGGTTGGCTAAGAAAGGGATCACCTTCCTTCTCCTGTTCTTTCCTTCCACTTGAGAAGCAGTAAAAAGGATACTCAAGTGTCACTGACAGCCACAGGGCCTTATGTACTATGGGAGTTCAAACATGTACGATTCAATTTAGGAAAGGGAATTGCTCTCCGAGTATCATTAAGCCATTAAGCATTTTTTTATTATAAATGAGGAAAGGCAGGACGTGGGCTGGGAGAGGGCAAAGAGGAATTAGTCCATCCTAGCAATTCTGTCAATATTATTTCATTTACTCATTCAGCAAATCTTTATTACAAATCTCGCCATATCATCACGTGACTGAACTCTGGAAGTAGACGGGGAAAAACAGGTACACAGATCATCCTCTTGTATACATTATATTTCAGCAGGAAGACCAGATATTAAGCAGCTAAATTCATTATTAATTAATTGTGATATCAATAAGGCCTGCGAAGCACCACTACAGCCCCAGAGCTGGTCTGATTAGGGGATCAGGGAAAGCTTCCCTTGATGAACTGACCCAAGCAAGTCTGAAAGATGAGTTGAGTTCTCTGATAAGAGGGTTTCAAATAGGAAAAGACTTGTTGGAAAGCTCAAAGGTGGGAGCACATACCATACACTAGAGGAACTAGTAGAGGACTGCTGGAAAGGCAGTGAAGAGGACAGAACATTCAACAGGAGCTGGGGTGCCTGGACAGTCTGTGTGGGGCAACTATCACCATGACAACAAATGAATGCAAAACGTTCTCCAAGCATCAAGGACTTTGTCTAGAACAACCAAAGAGCCATCCGCCAATCCATCTTTTTGAATCCAAAGCATCTAGGGTACAGCTGAGCAGAAGAAGGTGCTCAATGAATGTAGGTTGAATAATGAATAAATTAATCAAAAATGTAAGCATGTGTATAAAATCTATCTTTCACACACTGGAGTCGGCTTTGGTCCATTTACTGCAATATTTCAAAATCATATAAGTATCTGAGTTCGCTGAATTTGAAAAGACAGCCCAAAATAATTACTGTATTCTGAACCACTACGCTCTCAAATTAATTCCTATTGCAGCATGTGCACTCTCGTCCAGCCTTTTTAGTTTTCTGTCCAAATAAAATTAGGAGTGTTTTCAAAATATATATTGGAGCATTATTAATATCATATCAAATACTTGAAATTTTCATTAATAAGATCCAAAAGAGATCATAGTATCGGAAGCAGCTGAAAACAATATACACAATGAAATGAAAGACCTTCTCCCTACAACATTCTTTCACTCTTCACACGTTTTTCTCTTCCATTGCCATCTCTGAAAGCATTAGGCCAAAACTTGAAAAATTGAAACAACTTTTTAGACAGTTGATGCCTTTTCATTCATTCAAATTGCATTCATCTTTTTATTCATCTGTTTGTATCTACTGAGTTGCTACCATATATGGAGCACTGTGCTAAATGCTGGAGATGCAAAGATGAAGGTAACATGTTCTTTACTGTTGAGAGCATTAGGAGAAGTACACAGACAATAAATGTTAACATGTCTCAGGTGGAGAAGCTGGCTTTGGGGACAGTGGAAACACCAAAGAAGGAACAGTCAGTTCTATCTTGGGCGGGGCAATGGGGAAACTGCTGCATGGAAGAATGTCCAGGCAGGAAAGGCTCACAGAAGAGCTGACATCTTCCTGAATCTTGAAAGTGTCCACCAAACAAACAAGGGACAGAAAGAGGTAGCATTCCAGGCAGAGGAAATAACCAGAGCAAATGCATAGAGATGTGAGATAGCTGGTGAAGTTCAAAGAGCTGCACATGATTTGGTAGAGAGGAGCACAAAGTTCAAGGTAGAATGGGAACGAGTTTGGTCACAGACATATCTCAGTGAAAGGGTGGCTATTGAAGGACCCTAAGCAGGAGAATGAAAAGCTAAGAATTTTATCTCAAAAAGAAAAATCCAATAATAGTGTAAAAAACTGGTTAGAAGGTATTTAAGACTAGAGGCAATTTTCTAGTTGGAACTAGAATGTTTATGAAGATAGAACTGATAGGATTAGGATGGTTTCCTGAAAACCCATGTCAAAAATAAGAGGATAGTTACATAGTTTTTTTTTTCTTTTTTCTTTTTTTTTTTTTTTTTGACAGAGTCTTTTTCTGTCGCCCGGGCTGGGCTGGAGTGCAGTGGCACGATCTTGGCTCACTGCAAGCTCCGCCTCCTGGGTTCACACCATTCTCTGGCCTCAGCCTCCTGAGTAGCTGGGACTATAGGTGCCCACCACCATGCCCGGCTAATTTTTGTTTGTTTGTTTTTGTATTTTTAGTAGAGACGGGGTTTCACCGTGTTAACCAGGATGGTCTCGATCTCCTGAACTGGTAATCTGCCCACCTCAGCCTCCCAAAGTGCTGGGATTACAGGCATGAGCCACCATACCTGGCCTTTATTTTTCTATTAACATATCAGTACCTTTGTACACAATTATACAAAGCTAGAGTCGGTTTGAGCGAGACGGCACCTAACCCAGTATCCTAAGTTTGCCGAGGAACTAAGACCCAGAGAAGGTAAGAGCTGCAGAGCTAAGCAGGGCAGAGCACCCCACGGTGTCCTCAGTCTGGTCCATTACTCTTCTCCCTTCATCTTTCCCCAATTTACTAATCAATTAATGTTCAGCTATCAAATAGTACCTCTAGGATGCTACTTCAAGGAACTAAACAAAAATTCTTTATAATACAAATCACTTAATTTTATATTTTTTGCATTTGTATGTTTACATATTACATTGTGCCTGCCTAAAATTATTTAAAAATGAAAACAAAAACTACTGACACAGGTACTATCTGTGGGATACAGAGAACTATGACAATTATGAAAGAAAACAATCATTAACATTTATAACTCTAATTCACATTCATCTTTAGTTTCCTCAGTGTGCTCATTCCAAGGGAGTCTTTTACTCTTTGATAATTATAGGCCTGTGTTTACAGCCTAGTTCTGCCACCTGTTAGCCGAGTGATCTTTGTCAAGTCACTTAACCTCTCTATGCTTCAGTAAAATCGTTGTAATAATAAAATCTATCTGACGAGGTTGTGGAAGCCTTAAATGAGTGAATGCACTAAACTAGGTTCATAAGTACTATGTAGTGCTAACAATATATGTCTGAAATGATTCAGCTAGCCATGGGGTAATGTGAAATGGGATGCTAAAACTGACAAGGCCAAACTTTTATTATATGTCACCAAACAGATTTATCTGTAGTTGTTTGCAACCTTCCACGAGTCTGTGAGGTTGCTTCACATGATCAGGTTAGATTTGGATGAGGTGATTCTCCTACTCACCTGTTTTGCAATTATTTTCTTCTGGCTTTCTGACTTTTCAAGTATTATCTTTTCTCATTAAAAAAAAAAAATGATGTTCTATCATGGCTCTAAACTTACTGAAAACGTCACAAACCCTGTGGAATGTTTGCCAGTGATACAGTTGAAGTTCTCAAATTAATGAGAAATCCATTCCTACATTCTTGATTCTGTAGTCAAATGCTAATTTTTAGTCTTCTAACAATAGGTACCCACTCATTCAACAATAAATGCATACTAGGGACATAGTATGTGGGGAACATTCTGTTAGGTGCTAGCGGGGTAGAGACATTACCCATACTCAAGGGAATCACCATGATACAGGGGGGTTATTCATTAAACCCTATCCACAGAGAATGAAACCAACCTGGCCCTCATGGAGCATCAGGTCTAGTGAGGGAGACAGATAATAAACAGGGAAACAAAGAAGCACACAAGTACAAACTGGGAAGAGGCTTGTGAAGGTAAAGAACAGGTTAAAATTATGCTACCACTCCCGACCCAAGGGAGAAAGTGTGTATAGATAGTGTGAGCATTAGCAAAC